ACCAAAGACTAAAAATAAAGGACTTACCCGGGAGGCGGTTGGTGCTCCACACCTCGACTTGGACAACAGGCTGCAGCCGCCGACCCAAAGCGACACAGGCCCAACTAGCCCGAGGAACGTTAAAGTGGTAGTGTGCAGCCAGGACCCTGTTAGACTGCCAAAAACCCCTCGCCCGAATGTCAGCCCAGAACATGTTCCCAAAGATGGCAGCAAGGGCAGACAACTTACAAACATCATGGGGATAGACCACACACTGGCTAGACTTGATAACCCTGCGGACGACCTGAGAAGCCCGTACTTGCGAATAGGGAAGGGAAACTGGATCAACCCAAAGCGTGTCCCCGGACACAGAAGCCGTGGCGCTCGCACAACGGCGGAGGGCCGCAACCGAACAAGACACATGATGCACCCCCGGCCTGATCAATCAAGCATCAAAACCCAAGGACCCCTCTGGAAAGCAGCAGTCTCATTCTTCGCCAGAAAGAGAGGTTCGTTCGTCTGCAGCCATCTCCACCGGAGGAGAGCATAAAGCTCCCCAACCTGACCCCCCCCCCCCCCCCCCCCAGAGGCCAATGCCAACAGGAAAAGAGCCTTCGAAAAACAATCCTGAACCAAAAGGGCCACAACAAACCGAGGAGAAGAGAGGAGAGAGCACACTGTCCAAAGACCAGGACGGCTCGAGTGGCGCATGAGCAGGCCGGAGGTGAAACAATGCAAGAGACAGCTTGTGAAATAGAGCAGAAGTAACATCTATACTGAAAGCAAGCTGAAGCGGCTCTGCCAGCGCCGCACGATACAAGGCGACAGTATTGGGCATAAGTTAAGATGACGGTCCTGGAACAACCACGAGAGAGAGGACACCACCACCCGAACAGAAAGCAAAGTACAACTATGAAGAGTCAAAAAGAAACGGAAGGACCGCCAGGAAACTTCATACTGCTGCCGAGACGAAGCCTGCAGGTGAGACACCATCAATAAATCCACCTGATCACCATACAGATGGTGATGAACTAGTAAAAAATACCAAATGTGAATACAGTATTAGAAGAGCGAACCAGTGTCGTAACTGACCGGGCCCATCTTCTGAAAGAGGCGGAGCTGTGGAAAAACCTCCGGGATTCGGACATCAGGCAAACAGCACCTGAAACCACGGCTGGGCCAGCCACCATGGGGCCAAGAGGACTACCTGCCCTTGGTAAGTCGCCAAGAGAGCCAGGACCTGGAGCAACAGCCGAACTGGAGGGAATAGGTACAGGAACCCCCACCTCAATCAATCCTGCCTGAAGGTGTCGATCCTGACAGCCTCGCGGTCGGGGTAGGGCGCCACATATTCCGGAAGACGCCTCGACCACGCCGACGCGAAGAGGTCCACCTCCGGGCGCCCAAACATCTAGTACAGCCAACTGAATGAGTCGGCATCGACCATCCATTCCGTGGACAAAGGAACGAATTTGGACAGGCTGTCCGCCAGGACGTTGGACCCCCCTCTCAGACGTGAACTGCCAGGAGAGCCAAACCCCAAGAACTCTGCAGACGAGTTGCTCAAAGCAATCAGCCCCAAAGAGCCAAGGGCAGCATCAAACCCCCTTGGTTCAGGCAATAAACCGCCAGGGAGCAGTCAGAGCCCCCCCTCCTCCCCCCGCCCCGAGGTCGAACCCAGCAATCGCGACAGAGGCGGAAGGGATGTCCCCGAAGGAACCAGAACAGCTGATGAAGCCAAACTCAACCTGGCGGGTAGACCATCATCACAAAGTTCAGGCTCTCGCACAGACCTTGAGCAATTGCCGGGTGAGCCGGGAGCCCACCAGGGACAAGCGCGTGCAGGAGCCAAAGGAGAGACTCCGGAGGAAGAGACAAGGAAGCGGTCCCACACGAGATCCAGCCAGGTTCGAACCTGGGAGGGAACCAGATGGGACTTCCGCCAGTTCACCAGGAACCCGAACCCCGGCTAGGTGGGAAAGTACCAAACCTCTGGCGACCAGACAAGTGGACCGACTGGGAGCCAAAACCAGCCAGTCATCGAGGTGAGCAAACACCCGAACACCTAGCAATTTATTTATAACTAATAATTAAAATCATCAAACACTGCCACCACCTTCCTGAACCATAAATGAATGTGTAAAATATTGTTTTCCCATAAAAGAAGGGACTCGATAATTATGGAATTCAAAGGGGCAATTAATCTTGGAAAAATGCTTGGGGAAACAAAAAAGGAAATCTGTATTGAGGATCCAAAGGCTTCCAATACCACCCAAGAATACCCCCTATAAAATGACTCGCACAGCATCAAAGAAAAGGGGGAACAGGTAACTAAACACAATTACATTAAAACACTTTATTTTTAAAAACACGTAAACTAAAATCAAATTGAAAGTTATATCCTACTCTGATAAGTCATCCTATGAGGCAATTTGAAAATTGAGGTGCATTTACTTGATGTAATTAATACTCAGACCTTAATCCTGCAACCTCAGCCAAGATGTTGAGCGGCTGCCCCCAGATTAGTAGGCCTGTACTCCAGTATGGCCCCAAGAGACACTAACTAATATTTTCTAAAACTCTTGCCAGTGGAACAGGCTGCACCCACTTAGTTCCTAGGCCCAATTAACTCTGCCTATCAAAGCTCAACCAATTACTACAGAGTCACTCTTAGGCCAGCCAAAACCTCTGACTTGGCACTGCCCCTAAGCTTCCTTGGTGACGAGGCCCGTCTTGAATGTTCTGTTTTACTCCCGTAGATTCGTGAACCGATCCCGAGCTACACAGGAAACCACAGCTGTATATGGCTCCCTCACTCGAAACTTGAGAATTACGGTAATTCATCACTGGTCTAAAACTCAAATGGTTAGTGGCGAAGGCTGGAGGAGAGGGGAAACAAGATTGGAAAAGGGGATTGGAAAGGACTAGGAGACATGATTTGGAGGGATTGGAGACATAGAGATTGGGGGAACAAGTGACTTGACCACTTGCCTAAGGGGTAATTTGACTCTGGTTATAATGGGAAACGGCCAGCAGGGAGGGGGAGAATGACCAGAGGGTCAGACTGACACAAGGGAGGGATGAACAAGAGGGGGGAGGCAAGTGAGGGAAGGGAAGAGGAAGGGGGAAGGAGCTATGGTCTGCACATACCATTACAGCAGCTTGCATTTATTGTTCGACCACAGAAGCTACAAACAAGGAACAAAAGGGCAAAGACAATCTAAGAGCCAGGGCCCAAGCAGATTCAGAGGAGGAAGCGAGCACCACCTGCCAACACAAGAGGCTTGCAGCGAAAAACCGCAACAGCACATTCCGCAGGACCGGCGCAAACAGCTTCAAAAGCGCAGACGACGCACGAGCAGACGAGACAAAGGTGCCAGACTCGGGAACAGCCCCAAGCGCCTCCACATCCTCAGCAAGCCAATCAGATGACAGCTCAGAGGGTAAATAAACGCAGTTGGACCCGAGCGTCCCGTGGTGTTCCTCAGAGCACCTGGACTGGGTCTCCTAAGGGTCATCCCAGGCAGGGTACCGTTAACCGGCACCCAAGCTACCAATCAACACTGCTAAAGCTGAACCCTCGGGACGTGTCCACTCAAGAGGGCAAAGCAGGGGGGGGGGTTACCACCAAACACACACCCGCCAAACACACACCAAAACTACGACGTTGGTACAATGTTCGAACAAGATTTAACACCTCCTAACCAGTTATAACAACCAATATAGCAAATTGTAACAACGTTCTAATACGTCATAAACACGTTAAGCCAAGATGTAACAACTTTATTAAAAGTTTAACAAGCGGAAGATAGACAGTTTCGGTTTGTGTTTCCAGGGCACAACCCTAGTATAAACGGGGAGGAATGCAGTCACATCCCCCCCTCACCAGGCAAAAAAAAAAAAGAAAAACCTCGCAAGACAGCGTACCCAGAGGGACCAGAGCTAGTGGCTGTTATTGGTGAGAACTAGCTACATAGTACCCCTAGCAGTGCAAAAACCACCACTTACCCCAAGGTAAACAAAGGCAAAAGTGCCCCCCCCCCCAAAAAAAAAAAAAAAAAAAAAAAAAAAAAAAACATTGGCAGTCAATTGCCAAGCAGAAAAAGACCGACACAGTCACAAGGTGACTTGTGGAAGAGCCCCACCCCCGCCCAAGCCCCTAGGGCAGAACTTACAGGGCACTTAGGGAAGGGAACCCTATGCACATGCAGCCCGAGTACCTAAGACTATTACTCCCAGGTCGCACGCCACTGTAAGAGCAGTACTGAACCAAGGCACAGCACAACAAGAATCTGGAGTTGGAGCCACTCGAGTGTTGTGCCTCACACCAGCCGAAGAACTGGGGTGTGGATTGCTGGCACATGGGTCTGGGGCTCCCCCTTCCCCCTCCTGGGGCAAGGGGAGTTGCGCACGCGTGTGGCGCGGCTCGTGTGACGTCATGCTTATGTACTCGTTTTCATTTGGAGAGATCTGTCCACTCGTTTGTCTATTTTTGTAGTTTGTAACCAGAATAGTTTTTTTTTTTTACACACATTATTCTTGTAAAGCCACTAGTTTTGGGGCGCTTACCTTTCTGGATGCCTGTTCTGGTCGATGGCAGATATAGAATGCTCCAAAATCACGTGCATTCTATGGGCCATTGCTCCCCATACCTCTAAGGGGGTGATGTTCTGGCCGTGGTCCCCGGTAGGCCTAGAACTCTACCCACATCGACTGATGCCAAAGTTAGGGATAATCATATCTGCCTGGATGGCTTCGGGGAACCCCCCCCCCCCCCCCAGAAAAAAAACAATTAATCCAAGTAATTTATAATTTAATATGCCCCTCGTGCTGCAGTTGCGTAACCCTGAAATTAGTCTTTTGTATAACAGGACTAAAAAATAGTGCCATTATCTTAAGTTGGTTAATATAAAGCCTGGCTGTGGAAAGTGTTTAATGACCTTGCTGGTGTTCAAATTGTGTACCCATTGTGAGTGCACTACTGTGTTTAGCTTTTTGTACTGAAGCGGTTTGTTTTACAGATATGGTACACCTGTCTTGGAGGCGGCAACAAGTTTAGCAACTTCACACAATTTGATGAAATCTTTGACTTGCAAGAGCAAAGTGTTGTGAGAGGAGACTGCAAGGCCCTTGTTGGTAAGTGTGCATGATGTACCACATCCTTCCAGTTCCATTCAGTTGCTGCCAGTTTGTCAGACAGCTGGCTCTCAAACGTTGCCAAATATATGCACACACACATGCTCGCACAGTTTTATGTAGATTGGCTTTCTGATCCTCCACTTGGAATGCATTATCACACCTTTACTCTTGCTGCTAATTGTGGCATTTTTGGCTAGTTTTTGCCTGTAACCTCTCCTCAGTAGTGTGTGTGTTTCAGACCCATGAGCTATTTATGGTTTGTTTTTGTAATATTGATAATTTCTAACTTTCAGACAAACTAGGAAATGAAGAGGAAGATAAAGTATCAGTGGTGTGCGATGTGGAGTCCATATTCACTCACTACTGCAAAACTCGACACCTGAAATACGAGTCGTCCTCGCTATGGGCCGACATTGTCTTGCCCCTCCTGGCTGGGAAGATGCCCAGAGATCACATCTACATGTGCTTTGAGGAAATTCTTGAAAAATATGTACCAAGGTATGACATGGGGTAATTTTCTCTTGTTAAATTGCCATTACTTGTGAAGTGAGGAACATGTAAGTTTCACGTACTTAGAAAATAAAAGGGCACCGAGGAGAAGGTTGTAAACGGATGGGAATAGTAAAGGTAAAAATACTTTTCTAGGAGGGCGTGTTTATTTACCATTCACATTGTCGGGGGACAGGAAGCCTGTACTGTGGCCCTTTGAGGTCCCATAGGGTCGCATTACTTTTCCCAGGATGTAACCTGCAACAGGTAACGAACTCAATGGTACCTACTCTACTTTATTGCTACTTGAACAGAGGCATTGGATGAAAGGGAACATAACCAATTGTTTGTCCTGCCTGGCAATTGAACCTGGGGTCCCAAAGTTGTGAACAGAGAACAATGGCGAATGTGGATACTGTACTTCATCCGGCAGCGGATAAAGGTGAAGCAATGGATATGGATACTGCACATCGTCCAGTAGTGGATAAAAGTGAAGCAATGGAAACTTGGGAATTTGGTACAAGGTAAGGTAATTATCAAGAGAGAACACCGTCATTATGACCATATAGCACTTGGGAAAAGACTACAAGGATAAGGATTTAAGATAGGACTGGGAAAAGAATAGTGGCCAACCACTTGGACAGTTGTGGATTAAATGCCAACCTTCAAGAAGACTGTTGCTCTACCATGCAGTCATACAGTGCAAGCTGAATGTATTTTTAAAAACTCTTTGCTGTGATCTTCCAGTTTCCAGTGTCTACTCTCTCAATTATAGTGGTGACTGCCATGTTGTCATACTCTTGTCTGGGTCTTCTATCATTTGGTGGAGGGTTATATATCACTGCTACCACTACTCTTGGACCTCCTATCATGGTACCGGCTATGTAGTCTCTGAACCCCTCACAGCCTGGGATAACCATCTCCTGGAAACGCCACTCTTTTCTTATCAGTAGGACCACTCTGCCTCCTCCACTTCCTGCCCCCTCTCTCCTTATTAACGTGTTCCTGGGGGGGGAAACATCCAGGTGTGGCGGCCACTCGTCGTTGGTGTGACACCATACCAAGTTAGTGGTTCATTATGCTGAACAAAACCTTCAGATACTGTACTTGTATATAATCTGTGTATATAGTGTAATAACAGCAAAACTGTTTGTTGTTTAATAAACATAATAATTGAATCACTAATATGTGCACCCAAAATTTTAAGTATAGCAATGATTCACACATTTTATTATAAATATCACACGACACACTATTGAATAATATTACTGCAAAAAACTAAGGAAAAGTCACATTGAAATAATTACGTAATATATTTGTGGCAACTCCCACATGACAGCCCTGACGATTGCTCTGTCAATGTCTCGATTTTGCCAAACTTCCTCACCATTTTGCTGCTAAAATATGTCTTGTATGATTCTCCCCCCCGCCATGTTCAGAAACCATAAAAACGGTGAAATTCTTCCAAACAAAATGGTGTAGTCACTAGGTGGGATACACTGCTAAACTGTGTACTGTACATGTATACTATTTACCAGTATACTCGACCTATACATGCATCAACAAACGACGCGTACTCATAGGCAAACTTCATACACAGTCAAATTTCAGTGAAATTGACTTCGTACCCTGACAATTTGTACTCTGGGGGCATTCGTAGACTGAGGTTCCACTGTACTGTCATACGACACTTTGAAACTATGGACTGTTGTGGCATCCACAACCTTCTCACTTCACTAGAGCTGCATATAAGAACAATCCTAGGTGAATTTGTGATAGTTGAATAGAATAAGAAAGATGTGGATTACAGTATTGGTCAGTAAGTGATATAGATATGATATGAGCAGTTTGATAGAGCAGTTTAAAATGGCTTGGTTGATTAATTTGATAATGGTAAAAATTAAGTAGCGACTTTGGTAGAAATAACAGATGAATAGATATGGTGTGGGACAAAATTTTTGGCTTGTGTCAACCCGTTCTCGCAAATTTAATAAGTCAATATTGACTTATTAAGTATGTGCATAGGTGACATACTTAACATAATAGATACCCTTAAAAAGATTCATAGAAAATACTGACCTTACCTAACCTACTTAGTATGTTAAGATAAGCATCTTATTGCTTCGTAATTACAATTATTACCTAACCTATAATAGGTATAGGTTAAGTAATAATTGTAATTACGAAGCAATAAGATGCTTATCTTAAGATACTAACAAGGTTAGGTAAGGTTGGTGTTTTCTATGAATCTTTTTAAGGGTATCTATTATGTTTAGTATATCACCTATGCACGTAGTTAATAAGTCAATATTGACTTTTCGAATTTGCGAGAACGGGTTATGTGAAGAGAACTAGTGGTGGGGGATTAACACTGGTAAAAGTTTAGAGACCCAGGAGCCACCTGATAAATCCCAGGTACTTGGGTATGGTAAAAATGAAGACCTTAACCACTCCACTGCTCACCTTAAATGTTTACAATCACATTGTGTGCAAAAAGTTTTTACAAAAGTTTTGACCTTATTAATTAGCATCCAAACTAAAAAGTGTCTACCTTATGTGGTTTAGCTGTAGTTGCCTGGCCAAAATTATCCTGCACAGCTCTTATCCTTCCACTACGCATCACAGCTAAACAAAATACAAGGCGAGAAATCAAATTGGCCAATAGTAGAACATGAACATGTAAAGGATCTGGGAATGTGTGAAGGCCTGACATTTAGTGAGCATGTCCAAGCAAATATAGCATTGCCTAGAAAAATGATAAAAGGGGTTATGAGACCCTTCAAAAACAAGGATCCTGTCACAATGCTCTTACTATTCCAATAATTGGTGCTGTCCTGCCTCGAGTGCTGCTCAATACTCACTTACCCTTCAGAGCAGGAGAGATTGCTCAACTCTCGAGGGGCGATTGTTGTATATATACTATACAATTTTGTTAGGACTTCATTCAGTGGATACTGTATATGTACTGTATTGTTATCCACGAACATTTTCCAATATGTCATAGTATGACATTAACGTCTTTCAGAGAAAAACAATTGCAGTCACTTGTTCTCTTCAGTGTAACTAAGTACATTCATAATGCCTCTCTTCTCTCTAGCATAATACATCTATTGAAGCTACTTGTAAAGGTACTCGGTAGTCATGAGTAACACACACGCCATATACATGTACACATGCACTTTATTACACAATATACACTGTACCTTAATGTGTAGCAAATTTAATATTTTAAGGTACGCATCGTATAATCTCTTGAATTAACATTTTACGTGGTCTCATTTTCCATGGTGTCTTCACGAAGACGTGCATCAATGTGCAGTATAGTAGAGATGCTAATGTTGTTGAAGTGTGATTAATAATCGCTTTGTCCATTGCAGAGAGTCTGGTATCGGAGGGCCAGTGTACCATCTGCTGCGGCTACTGCTCCTCTATCACGATCCAGAGTTGTCAACTTTTCTAGATTCGCGCAAAATTACACCCGACCTCTATGCCACATCTTGGGTAATACTCGATGGTCCTTCATTGTTGTTTGTTTGCTCTAGTCACTGGAGTTTATATTTGTAATGGTTCACTTGTGTGATCAAATATTAGCATCTGCATGACCCCCTTATTGATGGCATCAGATAATGCAGATATTGATGCTTTGGCATTCCGATGACACACGTTGCCTTATTGGTACTCTGACGGCACATGTTCACATGACAATATAATGCATTATGCAATTACTATTGATAAACATTTGTGTGTACATCACTCTTGTGTATGATCTATAATAAATATTTATTTTTGCCAAATAATTCCACTCCATACACCCCAACTTCAGATACACAAAATCACACGGTGATGTATAACGGAGAAAATCCACTGGGGCTCTACGATTTCGGAATAAATCAGATTGTATGACTTAGCAAGTTGGTGGTGGTACAAGGCTAGGGTATGTGGCTGGCAATGCCTTGGTTGCAAGTTTGTCATCTCGGAGCCCCAGTGAATTTTCTCGCCAAATTTATAGTTATAACCTAACGAGTAACTGAAAATGTAAAAAAAAGTGTAAAAATTGTTGACATTGCCGAGTGTCCTATGAGTGCCCATGGAGTCAACGTTTATGATCAAGAATGCACGGAGAGGCCGGACCAGCAAAGCATTAATAAAGCATTAATTTTACTCTTAATTTGTGATTATTAGATTTCATTTTGATATTTAAATTCACAGGCATTTGTATTTGTGCTTTTTTTTTTTTCTAGCTGCGAAGTCTGTTTAGTGCAGTTTGCAGCCTGGATGCAACTATGGCAGTGTGGGACATATACTTCCAGGAGAGAGATCCCTTCTTTGTCCTCTTCCTTTCCCTTGTAATCCTGATCAATGCAAGGTGAGTAGAAGTCAGCACTCAAGTTTGTGGTGCATAATGAGTACTACTGTATACCATAGATGACCACTCGAGGCAAAAAGTTACAGCATTGCTAATTTAGGTAAAATAAAATGTCACTGCAGTGATGTGAAATACGGGAGAAAACATTAGTATTTTTTAATATTTATTAATGTGCATTGAACTGTATTAAATATGCCCAACTGTAATTACCTAAGTAATTACCTAAGTGTAGTTACAGGATGAGAGCTACGCTCGTGGGGTCCCGTCTTCCCAACACTGTCATATAACGCTTTGAAACTACTGATGGTCTTGGCCTCCACCACCTTCTCACCTAACTTGTTCCAACCATCTACCACTCTGTTTGCGAAAGTGAATTTTCTTATATTTCTTCGGCATCTGTGTTTAGCTAGTTTAAATCTCTGACCTCTTGTTCTTAAAGTTCCAGGTCTCGGGAAATCTTCCCTATCGATTTTATCAATTCCTGTTACTATTTTGTATGTAGTTGGTTTATCGCCCCTCTTCCTTTTAGTTTTGACATATTTAAAATGGAATTGTAACATATTTAGTATAGCATGTGTGTTGCTCTTTCATGCAACAGATGGCGCCGTTTTTCAAGAAAAGCATAGTTTTACCTGTCACAGGTGTGGCATCTATACTTGTACTTGTGAAATGAACGGTATTGTAGACAACACAGCTCGATTCCAACAGTCACACACAATAATTCAATAAAAAATAAATTAAATCGAAATCTATGAAAATAAAATTTATCAATGCAATCGGAAATATTGAAATGGAATTCATGGCATATTTAGTATAGCATGCATGTTGCTATTATGTGCAACAAATGGCGCTGTTTTTCAAAAACACCTTTTTACCTGCCACAGGGATGGCATCTATATAGTAGGTATATAAAAAGACACGCATATTTGAATGGAACGTTGTCAGAATTTCAAAGCAATCGGTGAAGAACTTTCGGAGATTAGCGATTTTGAACAAACGAACATTTCCATTTTTATTTATATAGATTGTCCTTCCGTTCGAATACAGTTGTAACTGTTGGCACTTTACCCTTTGCTTGCATCTGAAGGGTTTTAGGTGCACCACACTGCATTCTGAAGGTACCACAGGTGTGTATCCCTACTTCAAGCAGCAATTCACGCAATCAAACCGAATTAAAATAGTTGTCCATATATAAATGATAACCTTTGTTCTTCAGTGGTTCAATAAAGCCCATTACTATTTCAATCATTTTCCCAATTCCGGCATAAATTTCAAAATCAAAGATGTAGCCAGTCTTGGATTCAGCTAGCATGTAGAGCTTTATTCCATATTTATCAGGTTTATTGGGATTATAGGTCTTGAAAGCTAGACGGGCACGCCATGCCATTGTACCTTCATCCAAACTGAAATTTTTCCAAGGAATGTATAATGTCTTGAATTCATTTGAGAGATTTTTGCATGACTGATCGAACTTTGATTAGTCTAGAGTGTGGCCTTGTGGAATGGACTTGGTTATAAATATGGAAATACTTTCCAATCAATTCATAACGTTTACAAGTCATAAACGTATTGAAACTAATGAATCTACTATTCAAACTATTGCCAGAATCTACTTGTTTGGCAGTACATTCTAATTCTTGGCAACGGGCAGATACCCATCAAGATCCTAAGTCCCAAATATCATGCCATGTCTTTCACTGTCATTGGTTCCCATCTCTTGTTTGTGTTGGTCCCAGTACATGCATTGCTTTGGGAAGCATACAAATTAGTTTCATAAGTCACATATTTTAGCAAGCTTTGAATAAGAAATAATTGAATAAATCCCAAAGGAGTGCTAGGTAAAGGAACAGTCACGCCTGGTTTTCCTGTAAAACTGTCTACAAAGGGTGGAGTATTGTTACTACACCACCCTTCACCAGAATCTGTTGGTGTTGGAGTATGTTTGGCTCTGGCACAAGCCCCAGTACCTCGCCTTGCACGTGAAGCAGTCTCAACCTCAGACTCCTCACTTCCATCACTATCAAAATCGTCCTGCTGTCGTTTCCATTTAAATACATTCACTAACTTCATCAGTGTGTGTCAACACTTTCGCCGCTAGATAACTCGGATAAGTCATCAGATACAGCCTGACACTTAGAGGGCGAGTCTCACTCGCTTGTACTTCTGGTGTAAACTACTTAGCTTCTCCTCCTGATGCGTTGTTTTTGTGGATTTCATACTGGAAGGGCTTTGTTCATGATCACTATCCATCGTGGAGTAAGCCCAGATAGTATCTAAAGCCACACAAAGAAATATAGCCCCGGAAAATAGCCGAAATGTTCACACATTCGAGATGCGAGGGGAGGCGACACTGGTCACAACAATGGAGCATAAACAATGGGCCTACGGCGCAGACCGAGCCGCATGGGTGCCACATGGCCAAGCAAAGGTGGCGCCCGCCGCTTTGGCACGCAGTTTAAAATCAGTCCCCAAAAAATCCGATTAAAAGCGGATTTTTTGGCAAATATTTTGATGGAGGACTCGATGCAGAGTAGTCGCCAGACTTGCCCGTTTCACGGACAACTCGATGCCAAGTCGTTGTTGAGCGAAAGTGTTAGTGCCTCTAACCTCTCCTCGTAGCTCTTGCCATTCAGTTCTGGGAGCCACTTGGTGGCATGTCTTTGCACCTTTTCCAGTTTGTTGGTGTGCTTCTTAAGATATGGGCACCACACAACTGCTGACTAGTCTAGCTTTGGCCTAACAAAAGTTGTGAACAATTTCTTTATTTCACCATCCATGTATTTAAAAGCAATTCTGAAGTTAGAAAGCATAGCATAGGCTCATCGCACAACGTTCTTTGTGGTCCTCGGATGATAGTTTTCTATCTAGAACCACCCCCTAGATCTTTCTTTATCAGACTTCTTTTAAGATTTCTCGCATAATTTATAGGTTGTGTGGGGTCGATGTTCTCTTCCACATTCCATAACATGGCATTTATTCACATTAAATTCCATTTGTCAAGTGGTGCTCCATATACATATTCTGTCCAGGTCTTCATGAAGGGCATGACAATCATACAAGTTTCTTATCCTTCCTATTATCTTGGCATCATCAACAAACGTGTTCATATAATTCTGTATACCAACTGATAGATCATTAATGTAGGCAATGAACATGACTGGTGCAAGAACTGTGTGCGCGTGTGCACGCAAGTATGCATGTGTATGGAATGGCACAATTTCTTACCTCCAGCTTTGCTTTGAACTTTTAATTACAAGCTTTGGGTTTACTATCTGGAGATAGACCTGCTAATTTTAATCATATGAATTTGTGGTTGTGTAGGTAGCATAGGAGCTTCCTCAATCACTGCACACCCAGCTAGCAAGGTTGTGTTCAAAATTCTCACTAAACTTATCAAAGGTATCCAAACCTAAATAAAGTAAGACAGAAAAAAATCAACATTTTTAGAAGTGAAAATCCATAAATGATAGTTTTGGACACAAGAAAATGTATTGAGAGGATACAGTCATTTTGCTTGTACAGTGTGACAATGTCTCCTTGGAGTAGCAGAGAGAATAAGTGGTATGATACTTGGGAGTTAAAAACTATTGTAACAGTAACTCTGAAGGGGTTATCGAGTTTGAATAGACTGAAGTATGTGGCTCTGGGTTTCAAAATTCCTGCAATGAAGTTGTATTAATAAAATATTTAAGCACAGGGATATTCATAAATAAGCATGAAACAAAAATGATCAAACTGTAAAAGGGGTGCACACTGCAAACTCAATTTGGTGAACCTTGTTTCTGCAAATATCCAGTTCAAACATGCACATTCCAGGCTTGATTGACTTGCCCGCTTGGCCAAACCAGGGGCTAATTTCACAAAGCAGTTACGCAAGTACTTACGAACATGTACATCTGTCCTCGATCTTTGACGGCTTTGATTATATTTATTAAACAGTTTACAAACATGAAAACTTCCCAATCAAATGTGGTTGTTATAAAAAAACATCCTGGGGCTTCGGAGTTCATTAACTTTTAAATAATTGTAAACAAAGCCACTTGTGTAACTGCTTCATGAATCTGGCCCCTGGTGTTTGTGAATTCAGCGAAGTGGGGGATGTGGGGATGGGCTTAGAAAGCAGGATCCGAGTTGAGAACTGTGGGGAAGTTGTCCATCATATAATTAGTTGAAATTACAATTTTGCTTGGGGAAATTAGCCCATAGTGCATGAGAAATATTAGGGAATAACTAGTCTTCAAAAAAATGAAACTTGACAAGAAAGCCTTAAGAAAAACATTGAACATCTAAAAACCAAATTCTATGCTTAGTTTTCATTGTTGCTGTAGTTTTCTCACTTACGGTAGAAAGTCCTATACTGTATTTATGAAAATGAAGCTTCAATGGTGGGGCTTGGAAATGTGCTAGATGTGAAATCTCTAAATATAGTGTAGGTTCTATTAGTAATTGTTCATTATTAAATCATTTTACTTGGTGACATTAGCCCGCAGTGTGGGGATACAAGGGTATGAATGGCAACTTCTGCCTCCAATTTTAACATTTTCTGAAGAATAAAACCTTGAGAAAGGGTCATCTTGTTTTAATACATTGCTATGTATAGCAACTAGGGACACAAATGTGTCCCTAGTTGCAGTGAATCCCTCGTTGCCATGAATCAAGGTTGGTCGCATGTACAGTAATTTGTAATTTGTGAGGGTTGGAGTGTAATAGTGCGGTAGAAGTATGCTTGCATGTGCGTTAAAGTGGTGAGAGGCATCCGTGGGGGCATCAGTGTGGGTGATCTCCAAGATTAAGAGGTAAAAGGTTGATAATGTCTTGCAAGGACCCCAGGAAGTGTCCTAGTAAAATGAGAACTAGCAGACATCCTGGTAGACAACTGGTAGACAAGCTGGTCATCTTGTAGACTACAGTATAACGGGGAAAATGTTTTCAGGGAGCAGATCTTGGAGATGAAGAGCGAGAGTAGAGAACATATCATCACGACCTTGAGCGGGACGCCGGTGAGCCTAAGTGTGGACGATGTGTCAGACTTCTGCTCCCTCGCCAGATACTACATCATCAAAACGCCTGCTACTTTTAGAAAGGTGTGTGACATTAATGGGGACTGTTATTAATATTAAGGTTTGGGTAGCTCGTCTCTAAGTACACGCCTTAAACTGGGTAAATTTCTGGGTGCATGTAAAAAAAAAAAAAAAAAAAAATCCAATTTCAAGTTTAAGAGATTTCTCATTCTCAAATTGTTCATTAAAATTTGTCATTGCGTCGGTGGTTCAAAGCACGGGCATCACAGAGTACACAATGCACCAGACATGTTGCCACATTCCATCTTAATAGCTCCTAGAAAGGTAGCCAAGGCCTTTGAGATGGAAGGTTTGCTATTTCCATTATAGCAAACAATTGTCCTGCTTGTGTGTAGTGGTGCCTGACAATTGTAGTGGCTCGTTATCAGCACAGTAATGAATGTGTTGCAGTGCACATTCCTCCTCCCTGGTGTTCCTGTGCGTTTTCCCTTCTGTGGGTAGTTTGCTTCAGGGAGCCACCAGGGGCTTACAGAACACCAGTGTTGAATATAATAAGGTGCTAATTTGTGTGAGAGAGAGCCCTAGCAGCTCCCTGATCCCCTGCCTCGCTTCCAGGTTGTCAGGTGGATGCTTGAATCTGCTCTAGACCTGGGAGCCAAGACTGGCAAGGGGTGCGCTGCCTCCCTCGTGCCCCCAAGCAAATGTAGATAAGGCAAATGTGCTCACCACCATCTTTTGATAGTTTACATAGTTGGGGGAAAAGTTTAACCCTTAAAGTGCGCATCACGTCATATGACGTGTTGGAGTACTACGCAAGATTTAAACGGCCCGCGGATACACGGGGTTCACCACACCTTCATCAGGGCTCTTGTAAAAAAACACCATTTTAAAAAAAAATCGTGGGCCAAATTCCCCGCTGTTATTGGCTTCAGTATTGAGTGAGCTACCAAGCCTGATGCACGCAGCATGAGCTAATAGCACTGCTGTTCGGCTTGTGACCATAGCATCGCCTAAAAATGCCATAATATACTTGTTCGTGCTATTGTGTAGCGATGATATTATTACAGAAGACCCCTGACTGATAAAACTGACCAGGGTTCTGATAATAGCAGGATTGTGGTGATATTTAGTGCTGTGCGCCATGGAGGGAGGAGTAATGCTGTGGGAGGGAGGGTTTATCAATTCCTGTTACTATTTTGTACGTAGTGATCATATCACCTCTTTTTCTTCTGTCTTCTAGTTTTGGCATATTTAATGCTTCTAACCTCTCCTCGTAGCTCTTGCCCTTCAGTTCTGGGAGCCACTTAGTAGCATGTCTTTGCACCTTTTCCAGTTTGTTGATGTGCTTCTTAAGATATGGGCACCACACAACAGCTGCATATTCTAGCTTTGGCCTAACAAAAGTCATGAACAACTTCTTTAGTATATCGCCATCCATGTATTTAAATGCAATTCTGAAGTTAGAAAGCATTGCATAGGCTCCTTGCACAATATTCTTAATGTGGTCCTCAGGTGATAGTTTTCTATCTAGAACCACTCCTAGATCTCTTTCTTTATCAGAATTCTTTAAAGATTTCTCACATAATATATAGGTTGTGTGGGGTCTATGTTCTCCTATTCCACATTCCATAACATGACATTTATTAACATTAAATTCCATTTGCCAAGTGGTGCTCCATATACTTATTTTGTCCAGGTCTTCTTGAAGGGCATGACAATCATCTAAATTTCTTATCCTTCCTATTATCTTAGCATCATCAGCAAACATGTTCATATAATTCTGTATACCAACTGGTAGATCATTTATGTACACAATAAACATCACTGGTGCAAGAACTGAACCCTGTGGTACTCCACTTGTGACATTTCTCCATTCCGATACATTGCCTCTGATTACTGCCCTCATTTTTCTATCAGTCAGAAAATTTTTCATCCATGATAGAAGCTTACCTGTCACCCCTCCAATATTTTCCAGTTTCCAGAACAACCTCTTATGTGGAACTCTGTCGAAAGCCTTTTTTAGGTCCAGATAGATGCAGTCAACCCAGCCATCTCTTTCCTGTAATATCTCTGTGGCCCGATCATAGAAACTGAGTAAATTCGATACACAGGATCTTCCTGATCGAAAACCATACTGTCTGTCTGATATTATATCATTTCTCTCCAGGTGTTCTACCCATTTAGTTTTGATTAGCTTTTCCAATACTTTCACTATTACACTTGTCAATGATACAGGTCTATAATTGAGGGGGTCTTCCCTGCTGCCACTTTTGTAGATTGGAACTATGTTAGCCTGTTTCCACACGTCTGCTACGATTCCTGTACACAGGGATGCCTGAAAGATCAGGTGAAGTGGAATGCTGAGCTCAGATGCACATTCTCTCAGAACCCATGGTGAAACGCCATCTGGGCCAGCTGCTTTGTTCCTCCCGAGCTCCTTTAGCATATTTTCCACTTCATCTCTAGACACCTCTATCCGCTCTATGTTGTTCTCTGGAATTCTTATTGTGTCTGGTTCTCTGAAGATTTCATTTTGTACAAACACACTTTGGAACTTTTCATTTAATGTTTCACACATTTCCTTTTCATTTTCCGTGAATCTGTTTCCCATTTCCAACCTCTGGATATTATCCTTTACCTGCAATTTGTTGTTTATGAATTTGTAGAATAGGCCCGGTTCTGTTTTACATTTATCTGCTATCCCTTTTTCAAAATTTCTTTCTGCCTCTCTCCTTACTGCTGTATAATTGTTTCTCGCATCTTTGTATCGCTGGTATGTTTGGGGGTTTGGCCTCTTCCTATATTGATTCCATTTTTGTGTCTTTTGGTCTCTTGCCCTCTCACAATTTCTGTCGAACCAATCCTGTTTTCTGGTCCTGCATCTCTGTTTTGGTATAAATTTTTTTGTGCCTTTATCATATATTTCACAAAACTTGCCATACATCTCATTCACTTCCTTGCCTAGCATCAAGTCTGTCCAATTATACTCACTAAAAAAATTTCTAAGGTCACCATAATGTCCTCTCCTGAAGTCTGGTTTTTCAACTGCTTCAACCTCCTTATTTTCTTCCAGCTTATAACGCATTGCATACTTTATTCCCAAAAAGACATGGTCACTTTTACCCAAGGGAGGAAGGTACTGAATGTCAAATATCTCTTCCTCCTTCCTGCTAAATATCAAATCTAGCATGGAGGGAACGTCCCCTTCCCTCATCCTCGTAGCTTGTTTAACATGTTGATACAAGAATGTTTCCAGGATGAGGTCTACAAATTTACAGGTCCAAAAATCTTCTGTTTTAGCTTCATATGCTTCCCAGTCTATGGATTTCAAGTTGAAGTCACCGACTATCAACAGTCGTGATCTATCGTTATCCGCTCTCGCTATAATCTCTCTCATTATTGTTATAAGACCTTCACGTTTACTATCTAGCTCCTCCTTTGACCATGTGCTGCTTGGCGGTGGACTATATGCATTTATCATCATTAGTTTATCATCCTCATAGCAGATCTCTAGTGCTATTATGTCAACTTCTTGTGGATTGGCAGTCATTATTTCCTTCACCTTTAGGTGTTCTTTTACCAGCACAGCAACGCCACCGCCTTTCCTAATTTTTCTGTCCCGTCTCCAAATTGAGTAGCCCCTTGGGAATATGACCTCATTTAAAATTACATCTTCAAGTTTTGTCTCCGTGAGTGCAACAATGTCTGGTGTCTGCAGCTGTATTACATCACTTAACTCCAGTATCTTCGATCTCACTCCATCTATGTTGGTGTATGCAATCTTCAGGAACTTGTTCCCCCTCTCCTTATTCTTCACTCCCCCTCTCTCTATTGATTTTGTTGGTTTGCCTTTATGTACCACTTTACTGGTTTGCCTACCCCTATCACTTTGTAGAAAAAAGAATTTATTTCTTCTTCATTCCTGCTCTCATTTAAATGTTTTGCCTCGGCGAGGTTCAGTTTCAGCTTCTCTCTATCTTCTTTTGAAAGATCTCGTCTTAACGACCACCCTTTCCCATCCTCATCCCTTTGCAATTTTCTAGCATTCCTTAGTACTTCTTCCATCTGTTTGGCACCGTTTAGGGTGATCCTCAAAGGTCGATCTTTCCCTTTTACGTACCTGCCTATTCTCCTGTAGTCGCACACATTCTCTCTGTTTGTAAGACCTTCCACGAGGCCAACAATTTTATCTACTACTTTAGCTTCTTCTACAGCTCTTTCTGACCTAGATGTTATCGCCTTTTCTTTGCAGCCAAAAATGATCAGGGACTTACTCCGATCAACTGTGTTTTGCACCAACTTCGGGTTAGATGCCAATTCTTTCCTCACTTCTAGCCTAATGTTTGTTTTATCTTGGTTGCTGCAGTGTTTGACTTCCTTTACTGCTTCTTCTATTTTTTCCTTCTCCTTGGCCACTTGTGCATAAGTGAGTTGCATATCTTTCTTGCACTGTTCTATTCCCTGTGTAACTTCCTCCATCTGTGCTGACAAAGCTGTTTCTCCTGTTGAATTTCCTTGCCTAACCTATTGTAGTCATTTATGTTTAAATTTACTTTAACTTCTTCCAAAGCTATTTTTAAGAGTTTATTTTCTTCTTCCATGGCTTTGCAATTTGTTTCCAATTGATTCTTATCCTTGCGCAAGTCTTTCACTAAACCCTCAAGACATAAAACTTCTATTCAAATGGTCATTACTTTCTTTCAATTTACTAATTATTTCTACATGAGAGTTCACTATAGTATCTAAATTTACCAACTTGTTATGTAGACTACTAATATCAATGCTTTCTTCATTGAATCCCTCAAAATCAAGCTCTGTTTTGTTTTTCCCCTTGCCAGTGGCCATCTTGAATGTTCTTCTCTGCACTGTAAACACTAGGGCAACTTTTTCTCATCCGATTCTTCACTTCCCTTAGCACTTTCCTGTTATCTCACCTATTTTTCAAGAGCACTATACCTTTATGTTCTGTGGGACACCACTCACTACCATCAACCTGTACTACAATACTTAGGATTGTTGAAATATGCTGGAGCTCCTCTGCTGCAAGTGTTGACCCTTGGTGG